TGGGTACCGTACTTGCAAACAAAAGTTATAACAGCTTATGTACTGTTTGCCAAATTTTCAGAAAATAATGTTTAATGATGTAGGATTGACTTTAAGACACATAGCAAATTTGATAGACATTATATCAGGAGTAGTTTACACTGTTTTTAAGAAACGTTTGACGGTAAAAAAAAAGCTTGGTACTCAAAGGCCACTTTATATTTTGAAAAAATGAGTGAAAACGACAGCTTGTACGAATGTCTTTAAAAATATCAAGAATTGTAGTTATCCACGTTTGTTTGATATTCTGACAGGTAATGAAACATGAATCTATTGCTTAAAACCCTCAAAACAAAATTAACCATAAGATGAACTTGATAAAAACAGCGAGGGTCTGACAAGAGCAAAGATATGCAAGAGCACAAAGGCAGATTTATAGGCAATTTTCTTAAATATTAGTGGTATTGTATTGTTTTTTAAATTCGTATTCGGTGAGACAGTTTAATTCCTGGAAGAGTCTAGAAAGCAATTTTTGCACAAAAATCGAAAGGATTATTAGAGGAAGGACCTAGAATCAGGAATCCACTACATGAAACTTCTTCATGACAGCGCCCAAACCCGCACGCCCCGAAGAGTAAAGGGGTTTTGGGGATAAACAGAAAGTTAATGTTTTTTAACATTAACAATATCCACCAGATCTTTGACCTTTTGACTTGTTTCTATTTCTAAACTTGAAAAAACACCTTTCAGAAGGAAGAAACAAGTCCAGAAAAATCATTGAATCTGCCTTTTTCCAGTTTACTAAGGGTCATACCCAAAAATGAGTTCTAAAAACAATTAGAAATTGGATAAAAAATGTTACGGACATGTGTTTTAATTAAAATAGATTAATAAGTAAAATCATGAAGATTAAGGTCTTTCCATACTCAGAGTTATATGGGTTTAATCCAAAATTTGTTTTGCATACTAAAAGTAGGATATCTAAGCAACACAAAACACAAATAAAACTAGCACATTGCCATATTAAAGCTGACATGAACTCTTAAAAAGGCATCAGTTTTCATCTTTGTACGACTTACTACATTCCTGTACGCCCTTGTCCGCCATATTTCTTCGATTCCGCCATATTTAATCGAAGATTTTTGGCCACCTGTACCTGCTATATATAGCCATGTAGAATTGTTTTACTTGAGTGATTTTCTAGCCTGGCTGTCGACATGTACACATCTCCGATAGCATATTTTTTAGAAGTACATAAACTGAATAAACTGACCAAATACATGTTTGAAAAGTAAGAATTTAACAAAAAAATAGAACTATACCGAGAATTAAATTATTTTTGAATGCATTTGCTGCAATATAGAAAATACACTAACACGGAATACATTCATGTACAGCAAAAATCCATGCAGGTCGAGAAAACGCGTCAAACGCAGTGATAAAACATTTACCTGAATATACTGCTATCGTTACAGGGATGTGCACATGTCGAAAGAATAATCCTATTTTACTTTTATTGAAAAATGCATCTCAGAAGTCATGTAATCCATTGCTAACTCAACAGTAAAAGATGCTTGGACACACGTGGCCCATGCCGATAATTTTATTTGGTCAGGGAAAATATCAAAGGTTGAAAGCTCAGTGGGGTTGATTGAAAAAAATGCAAGTAATTTATTCAAAACTAAACATTACTCTTATCTGTAAATGTTGTAAATAGAATTTATGATTACATGGTTTAAATTCATTAAATTTATAATAAAGCATGCATTATTACGAATCATTCACCTTTTGAAGATATTTTCCTGTGATAGGAAGGGGGGGGGTGTAATAAAACATGCATATTAACACTCTCATAAAAATAATTTAAGAAAAACGTCGGAAACAGATTGGATTTCTTTATGATCAATTATTATCAAATAAATACTGTGTATTGGCTTTATTAGACCTAATATAATTTGATTTAAAGTTATTTATAATTTTATGCACAATGAATGAAAACATACCCCACGCTCCCCCAAAAGTCGAAGTGCTGAAATTCCCAGAAAAAAATAAAGGAATCGTAATTTCCTTGTTATATGCACATCTATGCACATTGTGTCCTAAATATCTGCAATGTTTGACGAAATTGTGTGCAGCGGTTTATGAAGAATTGCTCTGACAAACTGCTCATCTTTATATTCAAGATATGGCCAAAATCTAAATGTAAAAGTGCGGAAATTCCCGAAAAAAATAAAGAATTCGGAATTTCCGGGTGTTGTGCAAATCTAGACACACATTGACTCCTATAAATATCTCGAAAGTTCGACAAAACTCTGTGCAGTGGTTTATAAGAAGTTGCGCTGACCAAAAAAAAAGGACTGACTGATGGGTCCAAAACATTATACCTCACGCAACTTGTTGCGAGGGGTATAATAAACGAGTTTGATTCTGTGGTACTATGATAATGAAAATAGAATTTAATGTGAATTAAATTTCTAGACATAAATAATTAATGATTACTAGAAAAAGCAGATAGAAAGAGAGAGGAAACCCCCGTGAGGATTTCCGCATTCTATGGACAATTACCTTTATAAAAATTCCATTGTCTGTTGTCTAGGTCCAGGTTCGACTCGTACATTTGAGCATAGGTGTCGGAATCGGGGTGTGTGTATTTTTTACAAATATATACTTAGTATAGACATTGAACATTGCTGAGTAGGTTTAGCCTCCCCCCCCCCCCACTTTCCACAGACAAGTCGCAGTATAGGTTAAAAAAAAGGAAAGTGTTGGTGGTTGGAGAAAAATTTTGCTACTGAAGTTCGAACCTACCCCCCCCCCCCTTTCCCCCACACGAAAGAGGATATTCGTGTTTTGGAAAAGGACATTTCCCCCTTTTTTTAAGCTTGTCAGATTTTTTGAATGTATAAAAAAAATTCTTTGCACTTAGCCTCCCCCCCCACTTTCAATTTGCTTACGACGCCAATGCGTTTGAGAAGGTATTTGAGAAGTTCCCAATGTACCCATTCCTGTGATGTATATTTCACGTTTATTATATCCCTCGCTTGAAAAGTGGGAGGGTATATAGTAATAGTTATGTCCGTCCGTCGGTCTGTTACGCTTTGGGGTACCCATCTCTTATCCGCAAATCCTCTTATACCACTTAGTGAAATTCAATAAAACTTTCACAGAATCTTAGGTTTATTACATATTACCATTGTGCACCTCCTATTTTACTTTTTGATCAGACACGTGTTTTGGGTTTAGCGACAACAGCAAAATATGGACTTTGCCATTATAACCATATGGGAGGCGGGGGTATCATTTAGTGAGCTCTTTCAATTTGGCCGTTTGGGTTAACTTCTCGTCCAAATTAAATTATTATTCAATTTATGAAGTTTCGACATCCCGCCTGAAAAAAAATCCTTGATCTGTCCTAAGACTTAATAAATGGACAGCACAAAGTGCGTAGGATCTTATACCTATTATTGCCCTAAGGGATGGTTACAGAATGAGAGAGAGGGAGAGAGAGAGAGAGAGAGAGTTAGTTCAATATACAAAAGAGTAAATAAAAATTATTCGTATTCAACCAGTGTCAAGAATCCCTACCCTAGCTTTTAAAATTATCTCCTAAATACTGCTACAGAAATTATTTTTATATACAAAAAAAAAAAAAAAATAGCTAGACTATCAGGCATGGACACTGAAATCTCGAAAGACTCTCTATAACAACATAATTATAAAACATTTATACATTCCTCAAAATGCACATACTTTGTGGGCGGAGTGACACATTTAAATTTTTTTTTTTTCAAAATTAAATTCGGCAGAGATGTCTGTCTTCCAAGAATATTTAGATAACGGTCATGTCAATTATTTTTGCACGCCCCCCCCCCCCCCGCCTTAAAAAATCAAATGCCTAAATGTCAATCTGAACAGGGGATGGCATTTCTTCGTGTGTTTGTGTGTTAAAGAACGTATAGATCTATGTACACATAAAAAAAATTGTATTCTGGTTAATTGCTTTTAAGATTTGAAGTAAATAATTACCGTACATCAAATTACTTGGTTCAGATTTGAGATTAGTACTAAAATAATCAGTTATAATTGACAAATGAATTTTGCGACGCAGACTATATACATGACTTTGTATAGAATGTATATTAGAACTACATGTAGATAGACAATTCACAATTATAACTTATGAACAGCACTTATAATAACCCCCCCCCCTTTCAGCCGCGCAAATACCAAATAACTTCTCTTTCCACTTGTGATATTTTCCCTGACCAAAATCTGATCAGCATGGACTAAGTGTATCGACGTGCTAGTCTGTACGGAGTAATGACAGTGTGTTTACTATTGAGCTTTTACGGAGTTTATTTCTTTTTTGTGATGCATATTTCAATAAATGGAATTCAGGGTGTATTTCACATGACTTGTGCACATCTTCGAACCGATGCAGTAACCTTATTACCAGGTATGGGTACGTTTACAGCGTTCGAGGCGTTTTCTCGATATGCACCAATTGCATAGGGGCTGCAAATCAAAGACGTTGGTTGTTTTGTTCCATTCAAATGATATAATTTCAAAATGTGTTTGCAGGTTTTAAGTACTGCTTTTTATTTCAAGTTTATTCTGCATAAATTGGCGCACTGTAAAAATACGTACTCGTGCATCTAAATTTCTCACCAAACTTGCATTTTTTTCTTTGATTCAAATCAATAATTATTCAGAAATATGATTCTTATGTTGTTTAATGTGGTTTTGAAATGTCTTGATCTCCTTATGTGTTCTCATATGCTTTACCATCGGAGATGTGCACAAGTCGATACCCAAACCAAAAAATCATTCAACTGTAACGAGCGCATTGGGGTATATATCGTTACAATGAGACAAGGTATCTGAAAGAAATATGGCGGAATACGGCTATAGTTGGTATGAAACAAGTCGTACATAGACGAAATGTTGCGTTTTTAAGAATTCATGTCAGCTTTAAATAAGTATATCAATGAGATCAAGATATGTCTGATTTTCAGATTTATTAAAATTCATGCTGAGGTACTTTTTATGTTGGTTGCTAATTAATTGGCTAAAAAGTAGCTCTTTTATTACAATAAATAAATTGAAATAATATTTTTAAACAATTTTTTTAACAATACAGTCACATATACATGTTTCAATGAAAAAGAAAGCATTTATGTTGTTCCGCTAAAGTTGAAAAAAAAAATGAAAATTATCAGCAAGTTCAGGTATTATAAGAAAAATGTGGGTTTAAACCTAATAAGTCTTTTTAAAGAAAGTAAATAAACATATCACAAACTGATAAACATAAAAAAAATGTATACCTTTCCATATTGATAAAGTCAGTGCAGTCTGCTGTTTACCCCCCCCCCCCTTTTTTTTCCTCGAATACAAAGAAAAATGCAGAATTACCTTTATGAAACTATTCTTTTGATAGCCATTATATGTACTAAAGAAGTGTGAAACATGAGCAGGCACTACTATAGAGTGACCCCAATGACCTTGACCTTTAACCTTCCAGTAAATAAGAATTTTTTAGCAAAAAAGTTAGAAGACCTAACCACTTATTAGTTCTTATTATGTACTTGACCCTCAATATCTGGACCTGGGATATCTGTAATATTTACACCAATAGTCAATACATGGTACATATTTGTAAATTTTCTCATTGTGCATTCATATAAGCCACAACTTTGTCAATAATGATTTTGGATTTTGATACTCTTGGGATCTTTGTTCCATCTGAACGTTCACTGAACACATTCCTGATTCCATTGTATGGGTCACGCTTGTGAATACATCTCAGCTTTGATAGACTAAGGGAACAATCAACAAGCTTCTTCAATGTTTGGGATGAAATAACTTTAGACTCCACTAAGGAGTCTAATGATGACTTGCATGCATAGTATGACAGAGCGTACACATCATCCGATGATGACATATCAGACATTTTTTTCTCGTAGAGTTGCATAAGTGATTGGACATCAGCCACTGCATTGTGTGCATCATACTCTATTTTACGATGCGATTTCACTAAAGTCTCTTGCTTATAGTTCTCTACATCAATCCCCTTTTTCCAGATTTTTTTTCCCAGTTTTAATGTATCAAGAAATCCAGAAACATTTTCTTTGAAATGTTCCAATAAACCATATTTTGCCAGCTGATTCACTAAGACTGGGACATCAAAATTCTGCACATTGTGGCCAACCAAAATGGGCTTGGAAATTTTCTTCAAAAACTCAAGAAAATATCTAAGACCATCCTCTGGAGAAACTGATGTCACTGTTTGTCCTTTATGTTTTAGCACTCCACCAATGTACGTCATCCCAGTGGCCGCAGAAGCTTCAAGACAAATCTGTGTTGTTGGTCGCATATAGACATTCATCTCTTCATCCCCTGATACTGCAGCAATCTGTAGAATATCTGATGTTCTGGCTACAATTATGATTTAGACAATTAGAACTTACAATGCAAAGATGTAAATTTTATATTTACCAACAAATAAGAAATTATTTACAAGCTGAAAAAAATAGTAAACTTACCAAGCCCTGTTGTTTCTAAGTCAAAAAACATCATTGGACTATGATCTGGAGAAACTTTGTCTTGCTTCAAATCAATGTCCTGTAGATCAGTGTGATCTTGAAGAGCAATCTTTGATTGGTAAGTTTCACCTGTTCAAAAAAGTGAAAATGGAAAAACACATGTATTTATGAGAGAGGAATTTCCTAGAACATCATTTGATTAATGCCAACAATATCTGTAGTATAAAATGTTTTTTTTCAAATTCGAGAAATGTTTGACAAGTAAATAACAGAACAACAAATACACACAATCTGATCAAACTTAAAGTAACAATTAGTAGTTAGTAGCTTTGAATGTCAGAATACCATAACAAACAAAGGTCCAAATAAAAAAAAACTGTTTGTTTTCTGCTTCCCAACTTAGTGTTTTAATTTGAGTTATCAAGGGTTAATCTTTTTTAGGTTGAGAGAGAGCAAACAAACATTTTTTTTAAAAGGTGTCAAATAATACTTCTAATAAACAACACAAATATAACTTTCAATACTGAAAACTCAATTACCACACCTCTGTAATGTACTTATAACCGTCATTTTTTGGCATACAGAAGCTGACACTCTAGATCGGAGACTTTCTGAGACTCCATAATACCTGTTATGATTACCATTTTTTTAATGTTGAAAACATATAAAGAAACATTTCCCACGAACTGTAATATTCTATGATCCGTTTACAAACATATCAAACTTACAATCTTTTGGGTGCTTTACTGGACACCATATAGCTGAAATTTTCATTAAGCAGAGTCGATCCCATGGCAGACAATTCATCAGCCTTGGCTGCATAATTAGAAAGGAGTTTTTCTAAAGCATTTCTAAGGTCATGATCAGAGAGGGGCTTTCCATATGGCAAGTTCCTTGGCTTTTAATCTTTCTTTTCATTTCTACACCACAATCCACAGGAATCATGTTCTCCTACAATAAGTATTGTACGCTTCTGTTTTTTTTTTACCTTTTTCAGAACAATATAATAAATTTATTAAACAGTTATATAGTTTTTTTTTAACTTACCATATAGATGTGGTACTATTTTCATCAAATTATTTGCCAAATCTTCAGGTTTATTTTTATTCTGGCTTATGCAGTAAATAAAGCACTTTTCAATGTGATTTCTAACTTTGTTGTTTTTCAAAATTTTGTGTTCCCTGCTCAAATCAAAGAACTTGTAAACGCCTTCTTCGTATGATTCCTGTCTGCTTGCTTGGAGATGTTCTTATCAACTGTTGCTCTAATGCGGGCAACTGTAGTGGAGTCATTATCCATTACAAGATTTTCAGCCTACAATTAAAATTATGACATATCATCCAACTGTTTACTCATACTCACATCATTTTAGAATGTTTTGATGCAACTGTAAATATTTTACTCATTTTACTTGCCCTCAATTGAATGAGAAATAGAAAGAAAGGGAGAAAAAGCAGTAGCTGATAAATACCGTAGTACCCTTGATCCTTCATTGATTATTCCATGGATCATTTCACAGGCCATGGCCGGCTCCATAGCTTTGGCAGAGCCAGACCAGTTACATTGGCATCTGTGCTTACGTGGAGGGACTCCTTTCGCTTTTGCAGCAGAACAAATCCTACACTTTTTCCCCTTTACTGCATAACTTACAAATTTTGGGGTATTTTCTCCAAGCAACGTTGCATGACCTAAACAGAATTAAGAAGTCTGAATACAGGTATTGAATATTTTATGACATTAACTGTAGCATGTCGTATATACTAGGATTCCGAAACGTCATAAAATTATATAACCAAAGATACATATGGGGTCCCTGTAATGTTCTTTTAAACCTCTTTCTTACTCATCATCAGTATTGTGGATTCTATATGAACATGGCTCGAAGAGATTATCCGTATCAGTCATATCTCTCAATGACTCCTTTATTTCTCGCAATCGAACTCCTCTGACTTCTTCAAGATTTAAAAAAATGTTGCTAAATATACCATATTTGTATTACCTGTTTTGGCATGTCTTTCGTCGCTTTTATTACTCGGTGGTTGTAAAGTTATCAAATGTATGCAAATTTGTCACGTTAGGAGTAAAATACAATTTACAGTCTACTATAATTATACAGCCAGTTCATTAAAAAACAAAGCAACTACAGGTTAAGCATAAAAAATAAAGTCACTGATTCAATGCAAGAAAAACGATACTCGGGCATGAGTTCGAGTGTACATGTATATCAGATACATCTAATACAAGGGTATATATTTACATTTCCAATGTCTTTGCCAGAGATAATAACAAATAGTTACTTTACCCTATGTTCCTTTGTTATTAATGCAAGACCGAAGCCAAGTCAACTGAGCTATTTTTTGATGGATTAAAAGAAAATAACGACAGTAATGAAAGTGAAAAAAATGTCATTTATTGAAGTAAATGACGTAAAACAAAAAATAAACATATTAAGGGGGTCAGACAAGACTAGAAAAAACTTCGAAAGAACGAAAAAATCTTTGGTATCATATTATACAATCTGACCCCCAAAAATTAAATAAAGCATAAAGCAGGCATTGATATGCCTGCAAACTAAAAAGGGTGGGATAAAAGAAAATAAACGCGAAACAAACAAGTATGAACACTAATACATGTACATGTATAACAAATATAATATAAGACGGTGGAAGAAAGGAGGTAGACGGAGTTTTTTTCGACAACATTTTCGCTTGCAATTAAGCGTGTCTTTCTCCTTTGGTAAATAAAAACAATGATCACGTGATTGGGAGAGGCCACGCTGATTGGCTGTAAATTAAGATTCAAAATAGGCAATTGATCCCGATCTAAATAGTTTGTAAACACCAAACAACTCCACAATAATTACCAAATAAAAAGTCAAAAGTAAATTATAACAAATAAAACAAATACAGTTCCTTTAATTCTGTCACATAACGGATATTATTATTGTTGATAATAATAACTTATTAATTTCTCCATCTATGTACTGGTTCATCAATTGGCGCGGTTAAAAAATCATGTGCAGGACGGGACAACTAGTTAGACAGAAGCAGGACTTGTAACACGTGGATTGGCGGAATCAAGAGCATATAAATATAAGGAATAACTGTCAGATTTTTCGATTTTCATGACGATGATCAATTAAATGGCTTGCGTGATAATTTTATGCAGGCGTTTATGCAAATTATCCCGCAAGCCAATGGATTGATCACATCATGAAATCTAAAAACAAGACATCTATTCCTTAATTATAACCAAGTGTTGATATCAGAGATAAGATGTTTATCTGGCATATAACATTTTAAGAATCATGTTCAGATTAAAGAAAAACGACACGGGAAAGGGTGTTATGACATGTATGTTATTTTTAAAAGAAAAGAATCAGGGAATACAAATTTGAATATTTATGTATATGCTTTTGAATCAAGAATCTTGTTTTATTAAATCAACGTTTAAATGTGAGGTTAATTGCTAAAGTTTTATCTGTTTGTAAAAAAATATACCAGAAAAGTTTACATTATTTGTAGGCTATGTTTTTGAGATTTGTGGTATATGTACTTCTTCTGCTTTTCAAATTAAAGTTAACATAAAGAATTTGTAATAAAGTCGTTTAAAAAAAATAAATTTATGAATGTATATATGTATTTAACAAATATAGGCCTATTTGATCCCTATTATAAATAGATGAGCGATTTCTATTTTAGCAATACACGTAATTTCTATTCATTGCTATTATATAATTCGGTTTTGAAAAGATATACGTATTTCTTAACAGTGGTTGCAGTAGTTTTTTGTTGTTATTGAAAAAGAAAGATAGTTTTTGTATATAAAATGTCTATATTACACGTATATAACAAAGTGGGTTTATTTAAGTTATTTACGTTAACTTATTATCTGTAATCCATCCGTCTTTCCTTGTACACAACAGATAAGAATGCAATGTTAGATAAGTAAAGACATGATTTAAAGGTAACCTACATTACACAATAGTGCACAATCAATAGATGAGGAAATAAAAATAAAACTTGGTGAACATAAGTACTTGTTTAAGTTTTACTTTGTATAGATAATTAATCAACTTGTTTTATCAATGCCTTGTACAGTATATTTCGATTCTTTTGTTTTTTTTTTTAATTTTGCCTGCATAGAATTGTTTATTTCTATTTCATATTCATCACCGTCCTTTAATAGATATATGGGTTAGGTATGTACATGTATTCACTTGTTAATTTATTGAAGGTACGCAGGTAGAAACACTCGTTCAAATACTTAATCAACCGAACTTTCTTCTTATCGTGTGTTTGTGTGAAGGGGGATGAGGAGGGGTAATTCAACTTTTTCTTTTTTTCAGATTTCTTGCACACTCAATATTAAAATAAATCAACATTTATAATCTTTTTTTACACAAAACCTATTCCACAAATATTATTTGGTAGAGGAACCTGGGTCTTTAAGCATTTATATAAATTCATCCATAAATTCCCAATTTAAAAAAAGAAAGAAATGAACTTTAAGTATTACATGTAAATGTCCAATCCCGAGCAATGAAAAAATAAAAAATATAAAAACAAAAATCATTTTATTCATCTTTATTTACTTGTCATCTATTTACACAGAACAAAAATGAATCCACATAGAAATTTGGAAATTTTCTTTGGTTAAAAACAGCACTTTAGCAAATTACATTGAGACTACATATCATGTTATGATTTTTGTCATCATGATCATTTATCACTGCTATAATACAATCAGTATCTTTATGGAGTGTTTAAAGATGTCATTATTGACTTAGACTTAAATGTAAGTTTGATGGGAAGAAGATAATGTCAAAAAGGTTCACAAAAATTATTATGTAATTACTTTTCTTTCCCTTTACTACCGCTAAAAGTTAAATCGAAACTGGTTTCTTTATAAACTTATTCCATCGGCGATTGCTATGTGAAAGAAAAATGAACACATAAGGAATTAAAATTATTGGAGGGCCCACAGAAGTGATAACATTTGATATAAACTTAAAGCAAAGAGAAAATGACGAGTCTTTTGGTTTGTAAACAAGGGTTTTTGAGAAGTTTGAAACGTTCTTTATTTTGAAAGAAAAATTAACTGTTAATTTTCAATATTTATACCAGAGCTAATATTCATTAACTTTTCATATTTTAAGAAAATAAATACTAATGTGCGTCGATCGTTTCTTTGTTTTGGTTTTGATAAGATTCAAGACAAAAAAGAACTCAGAAATAATGTTTACCAAAACAGTTTCTTTCCTGACTGATGTGACCAGAGGTGTTAAATTAATTTTCTGAATCTTTTTTAATTAGAAAATGAACATGTTTAATTTGTAAGTATACTGTTTTTAATTTTAGATACTTTTAAAACATGTATTCACTCATAAAAATGTAGGGATGAAAAATTCCAGTTTATTATCATATTGCAGGGTCTTGAGGCAGCGTTAGTATGACTGTGTTACAATTTCTGACGTATGTAGTGCTACAGGTAGCCAACACAAAGGTAATTGTATTATAATTAAGTTACTGTACAATTATTCGTACCAATGAAATGTGGAGATAAGAAGTATACAAGCTCAAAAGTTTCTTGACACAATGTATATTATGAGCAGATAAAACAGAGACCATACACACATCAGAAAATGCAATAGAGAAATTAGCATCTTTTGAAAACAGAGCATAGTTGCCATGTGTTTCTTGTCAAGATTGGACAAAATCGTGTTGATAATCATATGGTCTAACTTTTGATGTAAAAACTGTCATTAAGCATTCGACTTAAATAAGACTATCGATACAATGTATCTTTAAGGCAATAACTTATTTGTCAATATCTTGCCTCGTATTAGGAATTATTCATTCTTAAAGAATGCTTTTGCGTATCGAATCAATAGCCAGGAATAAACCCCCTTTGAAGATGATAAGCGTAAATATTGCAGCACAAGTTAGGAAATTGACGATAGAAGATGTAAATTTATCACGGTTATTAAAAAATATTGTTGTTAAAACTATGACTTTTAAAGTACATGGTATCTTGATTTTCAATTTCATTAAACTTTATTGAGCCGAAAGAAATAATTATTGTTGATTGATGAAATGTCTTTGTTATTTAAGCATAGATATGTGCATATTTGGGAGGATGTATTGAGTGGTATATGTAGAAGGAGGCATTAGGTGAGAGAGAGAGAGTGGGTGTGAATCAGATGAAAAAATGCTGCTGTAAAGATACCGGTACATTTCAAGACATAATTTTGCAGTAAAGTGTGCTTTGATTGTTATTATAACTTCATTTTTTTTTTAATTCTATACAGGCAATTAATACAATGATGTTAATGTCTAATGTTATTATTTAGATGGTTGACACGCTAGAATACAATTTTCCGGTCAGTTCAACAGAAACATGTCCAATGAATGCCAAAGAATGGGACGATGCATCTGTAAGGAGACATTGCAATGACACACATGGGTACCACTGTGTACCCGATAAGAATTTCTCGTCTCTTATAGAGTTTTGTTATCCTCTAGGAAGACGTATTCCCTTTCAAAAAGGTACTTAATTTTTTTCAGGAATAATATATATTTGTCATATGATATCGCCAAATTGCAGGGTTCATTAGAAACATTGAAACTGCACTTACTTGTAGGAAATTGTTTGGAACTGGCTTATACTGGAATCCTGAACCATGTAAAATGTGGCAATTTCAGTTACGGTTGTCCAGAAAAGGACTTTTTCAGCAATGAGATTTATCTGTGTAAGTTAACGTTCTTAGTACGTAAATAAAAGTTCAAAAAAATTAATATAGTCTATGAAGAAAGGCATTTAGACTAAATCAGTGAATTAGCATTACGAGGGCTGCTCGGAAATTATTGGGACATTTATTTCAACTCTATAAAGAGCAGATATAAATTTAAGAAAATTCGTTAACACTTTATAAAGAAAGAATAAAACAAATATGCAAAATTTCTAATTTATAGGATAACTAGATAAAGTCTGGGGAAATTATGAACATGCTTATGTCTATCGACCTCGAGCAGCATCGCTACGTCAAATTCCATTTTTTCGTCGTTATCAGAATTCTTTACTGCAATTGATTTTTTAAAATGATGTACGTATTTCTGATCAGAATTCTAACAAATTTACACAAAATGCAGTCAAAATTAAAAAAATTACCAACATAAATTGAATTATTATCGCTTTTATTATGGGTTCATGGGGGGTTTGAACGTTGATATTAAATAATTTAAATATCTGATTTCGTTACAGCGCCGAGTACCCCTACCATTGACCCATTTATAGACCATTTAAGAAGATAAATTTAATATTTGTGAAATATTCTTTTCTTTTACTTTTACAAATTTCTGGTGTTTTGCAAACGTATATGCAAATTTTCACAAAAAGACGTTCATTAGAAAGAAAAATAGACACAATATCTCAATAATTTACGAACAGTCCTCGTTTTTTTCTATTACAGATCCAGCATGTTTAAGGCTTGCTGAAAACTGTTTCACAGCAGATCTTAGTTGCTTGAAAAAGCGATACTCTGAACAAATGCCGTGAGTTCTAGATATGCAAAATGATTTGATCTTATACATACTTGAATTATTTTAAAATCTCTCACACACCGGCCCTGCTTTGTATAACTGATAGGATTTTGTTTACCTTAATATTAAATAATGACATAAAAATCTACTAGGAGAGTTTTACAAACCTTATTTAAATGAATAAAACATTTTTTTAGATAGTGCTAAAAGAAAAAAACTGTCATGCATCTACTATGAACATTCAGATTTCATTTATATGCATTTTAATTATGCATATTCAGTGTGATTTTGTTTCCATAGACATTTTTTTTCTCTGAAATCAGACAAAAAATTCCATCAAGAAGTTCCTCCCTCTCATACATGTACAGACTGTATATCATACTCTATGCTCTTGAATTTTCAGGCGAGAAAAAATAGAAGCAAACTGCACTTGTCCAAAAGAGCAGTCGCCAAGAGAAGAAATTAGCTCTACAGCTTTAATTCCTGTAGTTATCGTATTGTCTGTAGGGTCTGTTTTTGCACTGAGTTTAGTTCTTATCCTTTATATGAAGATTCGTAAACAGAGTAAGTCTGAAGTCATAAATTTCTTTTGATACTAGAATTTGTAGTTTTGTAACCGATTTATAAATAAAATTGAAGGTTCGGTATTTGGGAAATACTAACTACTATATTTAAACAATAAAATGCTTTCTTTGTTTGTTATTACTGGAATCAACGGAAGCAGCTGTTGCAGAAAAAATACATAACCCGCGTAAGAGGGTTATGCAAATTTTTTCTGCAATAGCTGCGACCGTTAATTCCAGTAATAACAAACAAAGAAAGGCATTTTATTGTTTATATTTATATCTGTTTAAATAATCATTTAAAGTATGATTAAACAGATTAATTATTGTATTAATGATGCGAACGTCTTTTTTCATTTCTTCGATGGAACAGCCACTGATCAAGAAATCTGAACAGGCGACATGCCTAATGTAGTTCATGCAGTGATTAACGCAATTGGTTTTCTTAAGAAATAAAGGAGAAAATATTCAGTGGATGTAAATATATGCAAATGATCCCATCTCTGTAATTGTCAAGGGTCACTCTGTGTTTATGCCCCGTTCATATAGATGCTTGGTCTATCAATATTTTAAGATCCATCCTTGCTCGTTATCTTCACCTTTTTAATAAGTCTTCTGAGTGAAATAATTTAAAGCAATATGAGCTGCAAGTTTGGCATGGCAAACTTTTGTTGCAAATTTGTAACAGATTACTTCAAAGACAGAAAATAGAAAACTTATAGACTTCTGTTGTTCATATTTGCGATGGAAGATTTTTTGTATGCTTTAATTAATTAAGCAAACTGACATTATTCTCGTCTTGTGCATTATTGATTTCTTATATAAATGAATGCTGTATATTTGATTGCACAGAGATATTTCTTCTGGAAATAATTAAATTAATCATAAAGGTTTACATAACATACAATTTAATCATAAACAGTCACATTATTTAACAGCAATTTAGGAGAAAACTAGCTCGTGTTGCTTTGAAGTAGGAAATTTCATTATGTTATTATTTATTAATGAATATCTCAGTTAAAATATAACCGATCCAATCGACAGGAAAGGTGAAATGCTTAAAGGTCAAGTACGGTAAAAATAGATCTTAAAAATAATGTTTTTAATTCATTAAAAGCATTAAATGAAAGTTTATGGTGTGTTTGTTTTAAAAAAAAGATCCAGATATAGACGCAAAATACCTGTTCAAATATCGTTATTTATAGACATGAGCGATAGAGTTATCGGTCTTTTTCATGACGTCATCAGAGACAATAGCTGTATAGGCGCTATTCTATAAACAGCCAATAACTGAATAAAATGAATAGTTTTAACGCTGAACCGTGTTATTGACGGTAAACTCGAAGACATACTTGAGTTTACAGATTCAAACAATTAAGTTTGAGCCCATTACGAAGCAATCAGAATATGTAAGGCCTGCCTACATGGATATGTCATCGAAGTTAAAATCCGAGAATGAAGAAAGTAAATCGGGAAAATCTCCAAGAAGCAATAATTTGTTGTATTTTTTGTATTGAAAATAAATTAAAAACAGATATTCAAAAACGTTCAACATGAAAATCGAAACTTTAGCGCATTATTTGCATCTATGTAGAATACATTGTTTTGTTCGTTAGATTACTTAATATTAATAAACTAGTAGACTCGATGAGTATTCATAGTCAGCTGTGAAACCAGGTAGACAATTATTAGCAAAGTTAAAAGTGATCAGCAAATAACTCGGTGGCCGCTTGTGGTTGCTTCAAATCGTACCCCCCCCATTTCAATCAAAATTATGAAAAAAAACTAAATATTCAGCATGCGAACATGTCTCATTTTTAAATAAAAAGGAAAATTGGAAATTAATTTCCGAAATCTAAATAAAAGGACAAGAGAATCCTGCTATAGAAATTACGATGGCCGTTCAAAAATTACTTGACTGGTTGCACAGAAAAAAAAATTTGATGGCATAATCAGGCAAAATGTCACATTTAATATATAAACAATTCTTTACCTATATGGTCTTCAAAATTTCATATCAAAATGTTGTAAATTGGCATCAATTTTTGGTGATTTATCAAGACATATCATAAAGTCACGGAGCAGCAAAATATTCGTCGTCGGGGCATTTAAAAAAAAAATAGCTTTCATTTTCTAAGCATTTTCCCAAGAGTTCCTGTTAAGCTTAAGATATAGCGTGACATTGTTCACTCTATTTTTACGGTCCGGATAAAGATTTTGCACATGCACCTGAAGTATGGATCGATACCCCCCTCTTTTTTTAATAAAAAAAATTGTAAGAGCGTAAAATATCTCAAAATTATAAACTTCCCTGTCAATCACAAGAGACGTTAAAAGTATACAATCACATCTACATGTCGTTCTATGCAAGCAGATTGTGCGTCTTTCAGTTTAGAGAATGGCCATACTTCAGGCGCTTGTGGGTAATCCCTACCAATACTAGTTCTTCTCCAGTCTCACCATAGAAACCTATAATTATGCACAATCCTGCAGAGGATAACTTCACATAGAGAACTATGAATAAACCTTTCTCGTGACTTTATGTCCTTAATTTCAATATAGATTCTCATGCCTCCCCCTCTCCAACTTTTTATAAAACAAAACAAAACAAAAAAAAAACAAAACAAAAAAAAAACAAAAAACAAAACGTAATTTTACTTGTACCTTGACGATATTGTGAGTGAATTTTATGGTTTTGAACACAATACTCTGTGCAATCGCCATCTTCACAATGTAAAAATTTTGTGATTTCGGAAGATGTAGCGGTAATGAGCACCCGACAGATGAAATGCAGCGATAGTCGTGAGATGGAATTTGTTGCAATGTAGCGATTTTATTGAACTCCTGTGTCTTATTTTTGTTCGAGTGGTTTGAAAAATAAGACAGAGTGAATATGTTATAATTCTTAAGACAAAATCCAAGTTAACTAAAAAAAAAATAATATATATGCTAGTATTTTAAGAAGACAATCCTCTGAGTCTCTCTGCATTTTTTTTTCAGTGCAAACTCAATAACTCTCCACTTCCCCGGTATGCCGGTCCCATACAAAAAAAAATCCGTATAAAATTAATTGATCTGGTTTGAAATAATAATGCGTATGGTCACTATATTTTCCAGATACGTGTGTATTTTTTTTTCTCTGCTTGCTTACAGATAGATTAACTAAATATTATAAATTCATGTATTGAAATTTTGCGGATGTTTGTTAATGCGCTGTACACAGACGATGTGTTACAGTCCTATTAACAGTAACGACTCGGTTTCTAGTTACGTCTTACTCACAACCCACATCTTTGAATTTTCAAATTTTCTTTGTTGTTATTTAATTTGTATTTCTAAGCTTTTTAAATAGGTGGTACCAAAATTTCCAAAAATGAGTGGTACAGGAACAGAGCTGTCAAAAACAAGACCCCCCCTATTTTCCTTGTTTCGAATCGACTTTTCAGTATAGAATCAGGTGCCTTCTATTGTTGCCAACTTGATAAATAAAACCAGTTGGTCAAAATTATTGTAGAAATATATACCTTAAAGAAGATTCTACATAAAGTATATAAGTATTACTTGTTGATTGAAATGATTATTTTTCTAAAACTAAACAATATGAAAAATGTAGTATTTATTGAGAAACTTTGAGTGACATGGGTTATTAAAATTAAATCAACCATCTCTGAGACATAATTTCCATGGGATATTTTTGTTCGTAAATTGTTTTGATAGTATTTACACTTCTGTCAGCTTTTCTTGTTTTTGCATCCAGTAAAACGGCATTTTTCGTTATTCGAAAATCTGTGATTCGTAACTAAGAAAACAACACGTGGTAAGTTTGGATGTTAAAATTTCTTTCATAAGTCATTTATTGATTCATTTGATATTCTGTCATGTTATATTTATACTAAAAATTGATAACATGCTCAATCTGGATCGAAAAATATCGGAAAAAATTATTTAGACGAATTTGTTTATACACTCGTTTTCTTTTAATTGCACTTCCGCGTGTTAAAATTTAGGTCATTGTTTCAAATTGTAAATTACTGTGGGAATAATCATGCAGATAATACAAAAACACAACACAGGGATTGAATAATCATCCTTTTATTGTACATGTATTTACCCTGTGATATTTTTTCAACCCGTCTCTATGTTTTTCTAGAAAATTTAAATTAAAAAATATTCGTATAACCCTAGAAAGAATTTTTGAAAGGCACTTGTAAACAACCAGTCTTAGCTCAGTCGCTGCAGTCAAAAGTTGTCTCTGATGACGTAATACGTTATGGGCGATAACTCGCGTCCCTAAAAAAATATTGATAGCCCAGGTAAATTTTAATCGCGCAGCAGAAGTCATAGCAGGCGGTTTTCAATTAAACAGCTATGGGAATTGAAATCATATGAGACCGGCAGACAATTATGTATATATTATTCCAATTTTACAAAAATCTCCGTACTTGACCTTTAATCGTTTCACATAACAATATATATTTATTTCTCTCTTTTAATATTTTTTTACTCATAAAATAAAGTCGAAAGAATGAACGTATAGCAAAATTTGATCATTAGTGATCGAATACTTTAGAGAGTACATGTAAAACAAAAGAAAAAGAAACATTTAATATTATACATTTATTGCATGATAGTGAGGGAAATATGAAGATTTATTCAGCCAAGAAAAATCATATTCCCCGAGGTCTTCGCCCGAGGAGAATATGATATTTCTTTAGACTTATTCAGCCAAGAAAAATCATATTCCCCGAGGGCTTCGCCCGAGGGGAATATGATATTTCTTGGCTGAATAAGTCTTCGTGTTTCCCGAACATTCATGCAATGAATTGCATGTTTATTATACCGAAACAAGCAAAACCTTTGAAATAAACATAAACTTTCAAATTCGGCACCGCTCTCAAATGCACTTTCATTTTTTACGTAAACTATAAAAACCCTTCGGTCAACACATTATCATCAATTTTGTGACGTAAACCAGGCTATTGTGACGTCTACTACTCTCGAGAGTTCTCGTTCAACGAACTAGAACTATA